GACGCAATTTCAAATCAATTAGAGCAAGAAAGTGACAATATATCATGCTCATTTCATCAATTATAATATATTGAATATCTTTTAATCTACTTTATAATCTTTTAGGAATTTACCTTTAAGCTTGTAATTTGTATCGCATATTGGAATGGCAGTTGTTTTATCTATTAATTCTTTAGGAAAACCAAATCTGCATTTTTGTTCACCAGTTTTTTTATCAACTCATAAATAATAAGAACTACAATATATATAATGTTATAATTTATTTATCAACTCAATATAGTCTATCATATCATCATTAAGATCTTTAAGTACTTTGACATGAATGACAATCAGGAGAAGATACGTCTAAACTAAGATTAATTGTTGTAACTAAAGAATGCAAATAGCATACAACATCTTTCATTACTTCTTCATTATTACTCATTTTTTCCCAATCAATTTCAGATACATCTTTTCGCTTAGCAATACTATGCACATAGACGCTACTATAATTCTGCCACTCAAAGTGATACCACCACTCAATTAATCCCTATTTAGGTATAAAAACCTTTTCAAAGAAGACTTTCAACTGCTTTTCAAAAAACTATGTGGCAATATGGGAATTTTCTATAAGATCTTTACGTTAATGCCTAAAAGCACCCTGACTTGTTTCTGCTTCTATAGAATTTTCTCTATTGCACATAAGGCTATATAAATCTGGCTAATACATATCTACTGTACTGAACATAAAGAATACCATCTCTTGATACCCCAGTTGTCTTACCATATCTATTAATTCAGCCCTATGATGCATTTAATACTAATGAGTATCATGTAATCCTTCACTATAATGTAATACTCAATCTATAATATTGTTATTAATTTCCATTAAATCTAAGATTTTAGCTATAGTAAGCTGACCTTTCTCTAAATTTTGTCAAATGAATATATGACCTTCTGATAATGCTTTCTATCTCATTATTATATTTAGTGCAAAATAATACCACCATAGGTGATGTACAAACTGTCTATCTTTGTAAATCAAAGATGTTTAAAGTATTCTGCCAGTTGCACTTTTTTTACTCAGTGTCTATTATAGACCGCAGTATCCTAAGGATAAAGTGTTAGGAATACCTGTACTATATATTCAGGAGTATGAAACTCATCAACTGGAGTTTCTTCATTATGTGATCAGTCTTAGTGTTGTATTTGACGAAGAATTTTATTAACTATGCTATTCTCACTATTTTAGTAGATAACAAAAAAATGAATATTTGCGACATGAAATGGGTTTCATCATCTTCAATCTAATCTTACATTCATCTTCACTTAGTCTCTCTTCTTTATAATGAGTTTTATCACTTGAGATTTGTAAAATTTACTCTGTGATTGACCCATTTTTAGATAACTTTTGCAAAATATTGTTGTTGATGTCAATATCACAATAATATATGTTATTATTTTTTAACCACCAAAAAACTTGCATTACTTTTTTCTGATGAACTTGAAAGTCTCAAAAGTTGAATCCATTTTCAGTATAACGCTGAATAATAAGCAAATCTAGTGATGATAGATTACGTGAAAGGCAAGTTATGAATTTCTGTACATCTTATGAAAAATTAATAATATTTTCGTAATATGCATACTGTCTCTCAAGAAGATTATATACTGAAATAACAGGAAATATTTATGCAATTAGCATTTCTACTATATCTGTCAAATCCTGAAGCTCTTATAGAACTTCGCTTAGAAAAATATGAAAGTAAGAATTCATTAAATTCTTTAAAAAAAAAACGTTTCACCCAAGACTTACCAGGATCCATATTATTTTCGGCAGAGAACTTTTAAGACTTTTTTTTTGATTATATCAACGATATTCTTTATTAACAAGCATAATAGATAAAAATCACTCATTACATATATTACAGATATTGTTCTTCAAATTGCTAATTGTGTTGCGAAATTTGTAAAAAAGTTTCTGATCTGAATTTGAAATACTTTTTATTTCACGTCTTCAGTATAGATTTTTTCTATTCTGAAAAAGTCTTGCAACATATTGTTGAGGAGTTTATTTAGCCTTTTTTAGTAGATATTTTTATATGATATACACGAGCACGTCAAGCTTCCTCTTCAGTCACCAAATATGCCTCACGTTCTTCATTTGTCTTTTTAGCCACTTTACTTTGCCTTCTATGTTTTTTATTTTGATCATATGCTAAAAACTCTTCATGAGTCTCTTCAGCCACTATCCGCTTCCCATCTATGTCACATTTCTCATTCTCTTTATTATCATTCTTTTAGATAATTTGCAAAAATTATTTATGAATTATACATATAAAGTCCATTTTACATTATTTATCATGTTTATTATTTAATATTTAAAGACAAAAAATGAAAGAAATGCATCATATTATTAAGTATCTTACCATATTGTAACTATTGTAACTATTAGACATTGTGTGAATTTTATTAAATGAATTAAGCGAAATATCTTAAATATGAAAAAATATTTGAGAAAATGTATGCAAATAGCAGAAATGTGATTTGACGCGTTTGATAAAAAGACGTTAAGCGAG